AAAAACAATGCTAATGACAGTTTTATGTATTAGTAATCTCGGCCGAAACTTCCGTGCAGCGTTCAGTAACTAGTTCTGTCAGTTTAGATTACATCACTTGTCAAAAGAGTTTTAATTACTCCAATGTCGATATAAGGCGGACGTTTCTAAATGATAAATGAGAAATTGGAACCATTATTTCTCTTTTTCTCCTATTTCTTAATGGTCCTTTTTTATCGAGGTGACTTCCTGTTACTATGTCGATATCCATAGCCTTGTTATTATTTTTCTACATGAAATACAGAATGTAATGCATGGTTTTTCATGTTAGTTCGCTTAGTTTCGCCTTGTAGCAATTAAACCGAAAACAGAGTATAGTATTTTATAAATAGTGTGTACTATGCAGTGCATAAATAGTTCTGAACTAGCATCAACAATCCCTTATCTGACCGCTGTAATCACGTACACATAAATTTTATTTTAAACACAACTTACCCAACATATTGTGAAATGTATAAAAGCTAATGGCTTTAAAAAGAGGAATTAACATACTTTGTGTAACAAAATCGACGAAGTATAATATCGCAGACTACAAATGGCTACATTATTAATGCGTACGGCCGCTATAATTTTGGGATTTCCATAGTAACTGTAATAAACTTTCCGTTAATGTTAGCCCATTCAAGCTGTAATTTTTATTAAAAAAACTAATTGAATTTCTATGGTCCCAGCTGATGTTCAAAGGTGTGGAAGGCTTTATTCGGATAGTTTTCTAACTCCTCTAATAGCGAGCTGTAAAGTTATTACGGCAGTATAAAGTTCGGTCAGTAATATCTCCAAGTATAGTAAAAGACTAGTTTTTATTTTCCCTGGAGTAGCTGTGAGTATAATCAGGAGCCTTTTCATTGTAGTAAATGTAGTGAATCTCAAAGTAGGTAGCTGCATTAAGGTGTAAATTGTCGTAAATAAAAACCGCAATAAATTGCACGAGATATTCAGATAATCTTTTGTTATATCAATTCAAGGTCTTTTATTCATTCAATTGACGCTGGTTGTTCTCCAGTTGATGCTCTACATTGAATAAATTAAAGAAATTAAGTGGATTTTAGAGTTTTTAGCGCTGGTGGTTCAAAATATTTCCCTAAATTTTTCTGAACAAGTATCTATAGGAGTAGTAATAAAGTAGTGATACAATTTAGGTATAGTATTTCTTAATTGCTGGATAATTTGTTGCCCCAGTTCTATTATTAGGTTAATCGAATAGGTAAATATTTCTTTAGGTACTAAATAGATTGTTCATAAATCGATTCGGCGAAGTTGTTAATTCTCAGTGATGGTTTTTACATGCAAGTATGTCGTAGGATATTTCGTCTCTAGAGTATTGGAAAAGCTGATCGTCATTGACATGCGTGCTTGAATAGCTAAAAGGATGCCAAAGGCAGTCTAGTAATTAAATCTAGCCAACTAGTTCCTCGTCGAGGCGTTTCTTAATTTCCTCTTCATGGAAATTAAGCTATTTCGAATTTTCCGCTCAACTGGCGCATGGTACGTCGATACGATACGATACACTGCTGGCTGGTTTCGCTTCATCTGCTCCGATTTTTATTATTGTGGAATGGCTTAAATTGTCTTTTGGGCTCGGATGATGTTGCTCGAAATCGAATTTTTAATCGGAAAGTGAATTAAGGAATTTCTGTTCGGATAGTTTGGATTTTTTTATCCGTGAGAGAACCATTTGCTGTTTATTTAATATCGCATATATGAGGTTCGAGAGCCGGAGAGCTCAAAGGGATTTCCGGGGGAATTTGAGAACGTCAAACAAGTTTCGCTGATCCTCCATTAGAATAAAGTCCTTACTAAACGTGAACTACTGGCATCGAAATGAAATTTAGCGAACGAAATAAAGTCCCGTTCGGTGGATCCAAGTCTCAGGATCAGGACAACCGTCAGCGACAGGATACAGCGTCGAGGACGTTTAAATATGTTTGCTTTCCACGCCAGATGTCATAAATACAAATGCCGAGTTCAGTTCACTGGAGCAAAAATGACTGTTTGTCTCTGAATTTGACCATTGTGGAAGATTAGAGTGCTTGTATCTCCTAATCCGAATTTATAACCCGGATGTCACATAATGGGAAGTTTTATCTCTGTACGATTTGCACTTTTAAATTGCAGTATTTCAGAATAACTGTCTTCGCGTGGTCTCTATTTTTCTGTTACGATAAGCTCTCTCGAATATATGAACATAAGTTGTTCAAATTTTTGCTCATGTTTTATTCCTATATTTTTAAGCGGAAGTTCGGTATATATCGTATACGCTTACTTCGTATGATATACGGTTTCATGGTATCGAATTTCACATTCTCTCCATTTTTTAAATAACAAATATCTTGTTGTTCTTTTACTTTCATTGGGCTTTATCGTGCAATCCTAATTAAACTATCGAAACTTTTTTTCTTTGGTGCATGATTCAAATTTATTAGTATAGTATATTAGTATAGCAATAATATTAGGAAATAAATCCCACTTAATTCGTTTAAACAAAAAACAAACAATATCACTAATTAAATAATTGGTCACTGCTGCAGTCAATGTGTAAATTTAAGTTAATTTAGTCTGTAATAATAATTGATCAATTTTGTTGTACACAACGATTTTGATGGTATTTAACACCACCGGTCTGATATGTATATTCATTTAGTTTTGTTTGATTAAGCCATATTGCTTTTCATTAAATACATGCGTTTTATTATGAATTGTCCACATTTAATAGAACAATAGTTACCTACCTATAGCTGCTTTAGTAAATGCACACTTGCATAAACCACATCAAGCCATCATATCTTGCTTATTTGGCCTAAAACGGATTCAATATAACCACTAGAAAGAAGGAAACCCCTCTCGAAGCTCTTGTACTACCCAAAATCCATTTTGATCGGAATATAATTAACGTCGCTAGACAGACATAGGTGCAATTGAATTTACATATCTTCAGACTGGTAGAGCTCAAGATGAACTGGAATTGATGCGAGAATAGATTAGACAAATGCTTTAAAGATAGGTACGTTAACGCTTCCGAAATGAAATTGTTAGAATATGAACGAATGATGGTACATAAATGCAAATCGTAAGATAATATGAATTTATAATTATAATTATTGTTTGAACATTAATTTAGTTTAAACAAGTATAATTTATACAAGAAAGCGGCGCAAAATTTATTTGAAATAAGTATTAAACATATTGCGTATAACGCCACATTTTTCAAAAATTGGTTTATTTTATGCCGTTATTTTTTCGCAATTGTAGCACCGACAACACGTAAATTTCAGATTAAAACAAGCGTGCGATATTATCTGGCTAAAAAAATGATTTTTAGTTGACGATTTCCAGTGACGGTGTCATAAAAACCGAGATTAAAGTGAAATGGCCTTTTTTGCTCTATGAATTTTATATGTACGTGTATACGCATTAAAGAAATTGCCACTATAAAAAGAAAATTTTATGCCATCTTGGGTATTATACATAATTTACAAAGAATGGTATTTAAAATATGTAAATGTATAACGTTCCTAAAAAGCATCAACACTTAATACGCAAAATCTTAATAAATACATAAATAGATACTTAAAATAACTAATATTATTGTTCATTTTAATTAGCTTTAATATTTACTACATTAATCTCGAAATAATATTTATTCCTCAAACTAAATTTACTGTTATCATATAACTATACAATATAGAGCTGCAGATGTCATTTACTGATTCATTCGAGCTTGTGAAGTAATATACAAAGGATAAGGGACGTAGCCCCTTTCGAGAGGAAGCAAGTTGCCATAATAAAACCCTAATATTTCTGTTTAACTTTTATTCCTCCGAGTAACAGATTAAATATAAATGAATCAGCCCACATAAAAAATGGGCCCTTTTACGAGACAGCTTAATTCAGATGATTATTTGCGAGTAGAGACTCCCTTGGACTTTTCATTATAAGGATAAGGAAATACGACAAGGCATTTGGGAGAACGCTCATTCTACAGTAAACGTCACACAAACGAACACGTATATAAATTTTCAGCGAAAATGGGAGGAATCCCAAGTACTCATCAAGATGGTTTATTTCTCTTTATGAAATTTGTCACGGGCGTTTGGAAGCAAACTGAAATGTGCGCTTATCAAAAAGCGTTTTCGAATAATCTTTAACTTCTTTATGTTATTTTAATTATGTTTAACAAGAGCTTTATTTACATTCGTCTTCTGTAAATCGTTAGAATTATTAATTGTTTTGCTGTTTATTAATTATTCAGATAAAAACTAGTTTATGATGCAAATTTTCTCTCTAATTGCTATATAAATTTAAGTTTCTTTCACTGTTTTATTACCGAAGTTTCTATCAGATAAGTTGCAACTTTGTATACTTATCTTTAAGAAAAAATTTTTAATACCTAATACTGGTATTATTCAGGTCATGTAATCTAAAAACATTAGTTATAAAAATTATAGGTGGAAATTTTAAAAGAAAATTAGTACTTATAATAAATAATATCTTTATCATCGCAATTTAATAGTACTTTTGAAACATATGTCAAATATCCCTTTACATCCTAATACGACCTTTATTTATACCCTTTTTAAATCACTGATATTAAAAGCTGATGATTTTGCTTTAGTTAGATGTATTGAATCCTCTTTTTCATTACCGAATCAATCAGTTTCAACTAATACAAATTAAAAATCTATTATACCGTTGGCATAATTTTGGCATTTACTTGTTGATCGTTAATGGATAATAGGTATTAAATACAATAAATTGAATAATATCATTCATACCGTCAATTATTCCTTTAATGTTAACCTACTGTGAAAACGAGGAATATTAAACAGTTCCATAGCACACATACTATATTAGTCAGTTGAATATCAGTGATGAATTTGAACGTTAGATTAGTCGCTTTTAGATTTAGTAGAGCCGCATTTTGAGACTGAAAAGGGGTTGTGAAGTAGAACATTCTCTTTCAGCTTACAGACAGGATCTAATGGGATACTCTTCTCGATGGATACGGGAGTATCAGTAAGCACCCCCAGGTACGTGAGAAAAACAACAACAGAAATCAAATAATTTCTAAGATCTAATCCCGAAATCTGTAACAGAAACAATGCGTAATTAGTTATGTACTTCTAATTCCTTCATAGAATAAAACATTTAAAAATATTAATATTTTTTATCTATTTTTATTATTTAGGATTGTTTGTGATAGTACTTAAATGTATTTCGAACTTATTTAATTGGGTAATTGCTAAATTTATTGATAGAAAAATAAATGCACTGTAGATGCATCGCAATTGGATCGGTTTGACGGTCATCTATTTTAAAATAACAATAAGCGGGAGCGGAATTAAGAACGGCAACGCTTAATTAAATGTTAATTGCCAATGAAATTTCTACATCTATCCTTGTTATACGCCGTACGCATTAATGACAATTTAATTGCTTATTATAATCGTATCAATTGGTTTACCGATGTGTTTTTTTTCAAGAGAATTCAATTATGACTTGAATATTATTGAGGTACAGTTTTACCTATATACAGTAGGTATATATAAAAATAAAAAATATACCTACATTATAAATTATGGTGGTAAATATAATTATTATAATAAGAGGGCAAAATTGGGCTAATAGCGATTAACTGACCCGAGTTAATTCATAGAGCACTAAAGAGCTTAGTATATTTAACGATTCGTTCGTTCTTAATTAATTGTAGCAATTATTATTCTTTAATTATTGTACCCTTGCAATTCTTTTGTGTATCGCAAGTCGTTTGTTACTTAAAATTTCGCGCACTCAAGAAGAAGCTAATCTGAACTAAAATGATTTATTCCAAAAATTTGCCAAGAATTAAATTTGTATTTGCAATTACTTATTGTCTACTGGTAATTGTTTTGTTTGTTCATAAACACGTACTGTACTTGATCTCAAATTAAATCACTGCTGTTTTCAACAACAAAGAAATAAATGTTCATTTGCTATGTATATTCTAGTAAGTACACTTCAGATTTTATTTACAACTTGAAATTTTAACACAAACAATTTATTTAAGAAATGGCCTGATTTCTGAGCAAAAGTAATTTAGTAATAGGTACGTTAAGAACTTTGCTAAATTTATAAATACTTTTATCATCTAAAAATTAGCAATTTGTAAACCTTTATTAAATTAACATGTCATTGTTATTGTTTTTAATTTTACGGGAAATTCTATTGACAGGTATAAAATTGTAATGTTTCAACTCAATAGATTTAGCACAAAATGTAAATACACTTCTCGGGGAATACCATTCTAGTCTCACTAATAAAAGCTGACTGAAAAACGTTAATATTTTTAAATAATTAAAACATTACTTTTCGTATTTATGAATTATTATCATTTGCTTTAAATGTGATTGATGTAAATTCTGTTCCACACGATAGAATCACTAAATTATAGTGTATAGATTTAGTTTGTAACGTAGTTCATAACGAATTAGATACGCATTTTATCTTTAATTTGAGGTTTATTTTCTTTGTTATAGGGGTTTCGGTTTTATCACATTCAACGACCCATCAAGCGTGGACAAAGTACTCGCACAAAGCACACATGAACTCGATGGCAAAAAGGTAAATATATAATCTTTTTTCTTTATTACTTATACGTAGGGTAGGGCGGGGCTAGTTGAGCATACGGGTAAGTTGTGCAATCGAAATATCTCGCAAACTATTCACCGTACGCATAAACGTCTTATGGCGGAAAGAAGGGGTCGGGGGAGACCTAATCACAGAGCTATTGCAAGTGGCGCCTCGACAAGCGAGTAAAGCACCCGTGCGTTTTGTTTTTTTTGTGACCAAAAAGTAAAAACGTCGTCTATCGCAAGTTTTCGTCTGTATTAGTCAAATATTATCCGTTTTCAATGGGGTAAGGGTTAATAATCCAGAAAATTATTGTACTTTTGATATGTAGAGATGTTCTGGTTATAATTCTTACGATTTCTTTATGAACTCACTTTTATTTTAAAATTGCGGGTTGGGGTTAGTTGAGCAACTACTGCGAAATTTACCAGGAGAAAGTTGGATTCACTGCCAAGCTTGCAGGGAATGGGCACAAATAAAATGTCTTCCAGGTGCTATGGTCTTACTTTCATTTGTATTAATTGCAACAGTAACAACGACCAAAACTTGCTAATATATTATTAATATTTTTTTAAGCTATTTAATTCTGATTTTAAACAGAAAGCTCGTAAATTACTTTAAGTTTTCTTGTTTTGTCACTAAATCACAATAAATAAAGAGATGATTATAAAAATAAACATATCCTATATGTAAACATACCGTTGCTCAACTTACCTCACCTATGGGGTACATTGAGCATACTTGACTTTCTGCATTTAAACAGCTGTAGCTCTTAAATTCAACTAGTTACAAAAAAGTTACTATGGACACTTTTGTTAAGGGATAAATTACTAATCCATCAAGCCACATAACAAGTCATTCACACATATCATTGATGAGCTATATCCGCTAAAGTGAAAAGTTGCTCAACTAGCCCCGCCCTACCCTACTATACCTATACATATTACATATATGTATTATACAGTTTTTGTCTGGAACCATTAGGATAATTTAAATTTAATATACACATTAGACGAGTATACGAAATTGGCAGTAATTAGTTTCGGATTTATGAACAAAAGCTGGTTATTTTTTACTGCAACAAAAAGAAGAAATAGAAGCCAATAGAGTTGACATCCGACGTCGGCAAAAAATTAATTTAATCATGCCCGTATGGCGCTTAATTGCCGAAATTAGATTGAAAATAAATGAGTGTCATTAGCGCAACTCCGCGGGAGTTATGGAGTTCCTGCAAGAATGGATTTCGAGGGATACACAGTGGATTAGGCGAAACCAAAATTTATGGCGGATAGGGCAGGGTAAACTCTAAAGTGTCGGGAGTTTCGGGGGGGAGATAATACGCTAAATTTCCAGGGATATAACATTTCAATAGAATTTAAAATGAAGTTATTGATCTAATATTCTAAGCCGTAACGATTCGATGGAATTTACTCATTAAATTTTTATACAATTCGATGAACAATCTCGATTCAAAGATTATTTTTTGCATTCGAGCAGACATTTTCAGCAGAATGCTAAAAATCCAATTGGTCTTCTTCTCTAACGCGGTTTTCTTTTGCCGATTTATTTTAATTTGAAAATTGTTACAAACGAATTTCAGACCGACCATTAATTTTGTTCAAATGGGCTTTGTTGGTATTTTTCTATACGAAAAAGTTTTTTCTTTGGCGCCATTCAAGTGGATTTAATGGATTTTGTCTGTACCATGATTCCTGGTTTTTAGCTATTTCTCGGTCGTTGCGAAAAAATAATTTAATCCGGTATTTGTTTGTTTCGTTGCTGTAGGTGTTTACTCAGGTTTGGTTTTTCGTTCAAAACTGTTATATTTCTGAACTAGGAAGTACACTGTATAGGTAGTAAAATATGAATCAAATTGTTGTTTTGTTTACGTAATTAAATTTTAACTATTCTACAATTTTTAGATACCTACATATTAGCATCTCGATTAAAATTTGCGTTTCATACCCACCATTATTTTCTTAAGTAAATAAATAAAGCTAATTTGAATATGTAAATTAGGTGAAATTCAAACTAAAATCTTAGAAACGTCACGTTTCCTTACATCAACATAACAGTTTCATACTGAATTAAGTTCCATTATTTGAGATAACAGGTAGGTATTATATTCTGAAGCATTAAAACTAGCATCGTTTTGCTAAAGGGAAATCGAAATTTTCCGCTGTTAATTTCTCATAATGACAGCAGCTGTCGGGAAAGCCATGAAAACTTAAAAGCTTACCATCAGCTAAATGCAAGTAAAATGTAAAATATGCCATTTTAGATGAATGTTCGAGGGTGTGTGTCGGATTCGTCATTAGTTGTTTCAAATTAAAATAGAATTAGTACATAGACATCTGTGATCGTTTTTCCCATGTCGATTCCACGTTTCCTGATTTTACCCTTCCAATTCAACACCTTAATTTCAATCTGGGGAAACGTTTCATTACAGTTCAAACAGAATTCTCGCTATTAAAAATAAATATTTGTTTATCTACATGTTTGGAGTGTTCATAATAATTATGATGCCCCTGATGTTATTGAAAAGAAATTGATCGGGAACGTTAACCGCGCGACAGCGTCCCTACTGTTATCGACATAAATTAGTGGACCTTTTTGAAACATTGTAAATTACATGTAACATGCTGTATTGAGTATTGCGCACACACAATACCATAGATCGGTATTCGAATACCGTCTAAGTGGGCATTATCCCAATCATCTGTTGTTGTAAATTCTGAAATTGCGGGTAGACCGCAAGTTTGTTGAGATTTGGAATTTACTAGAGAAATTTATCATGGATCCGCTTGGAAGAAAAGTTGCTTATTATTTTTACATCGATATCTATTGGTCCTCTCAATTATTTTTCCAATTCCTATAACGAGTAGGTATTATTTTTAACTTGTGCCATTACTGTCCTAGATTCGTTAAGAAGGTAATATTCTGTGGAGTTTCCCATTATCTTTTGTGATGTAATTTGATTTGCAACGTACTTACTTACACAATGCAAATCTAAATTTTTTTGTAATATATCTCATATAAGAGCTTTTACTAAGAATTCTGTAAATATTTGAAGAAAAAGCTCTACTTTAATCATGTATATACATTTTATCACAAAGAAGTAGCACCAAAGCTGCCTATACTATAAAGAAAAATCCGTAAGGAATTTTCTGAATAGTGTAGTTTTCAATACAGGCAGTTCTTTTTATGGAATCTAGGTAATCTAATAGATCATCAACGTATTATGATAGAGCAATTATACAGAAAAATGATTTATTTGATATGGATATTGATTTATTTATATTGATTTATTATTTACTGATATGGCATAATCTCTAGTTAAAATATCGAGGAAAATGAAGCAACAACTAAATGTCGATATTTCTAACATTTGATAAAATATCTGGTAACAAACAAAATTCATTGTTCGAATGTATTTTAATGTCATCTTCAAACAATTGAAAATCAGAAAGTCGCATCTGTTCCTGAAAATCATCCGAATTGCGAAAATAATTAGTGTTTTCTTGGAAATTACAAAGACCCTCGTTTATGTCAACGAAATATTTGGAATATACATACAAAACAACTGAACCTGGATGCCTTGCATAGATATTCAAACAATGGCAATAATAACGATTTAACAGTATAGTGCCAATGACAGTTTTCAGGAACAGAAACTGGGTTTGTTAGGAGTAATCACGATACGGGGTAATATCTACAGAGGGGTTTGTTTGGTACATTTCGAATAAGTTAGAAACATATTTTAATGGTACCTACACTAAATAATCTCATTCTAACGCCTTTTATCTTGATCTTAACATGTATTTTATAGAAATAAATCATTCCTTTTCACGCAATACATATTAAAAATTGATGCAATAATTCATTAGTCGAATACAATATGAAAATATCAACGTTGTACCCTATCCTACATTATTCCCGCAGGTCTTCTTAAACAGCGACGCGGTATATAAAAATTCCTTATACATGTGTTTTCGAAGAACCGCTGTATGTATACAGTAACAAATCATGTACGTAATACGTCTACTAAACCAATTACACGGGAAACTTGATTTATGATCCGCTTTATATTCTCAGGCACATACAGTAGGTCTCCTGTTCTATTACGTGGGGAATATTTAAATAAAATTTCGACGTATACATTAAGAATGATATACGCGATCTCCAAATTACTCGAATGCGAAAATTTAACTGCCTTTTAAAATCAGTTTTAAATTTAATCATGCCGTTAAATTGTTGTCATTAATTACAGCGTTTTGTATGGAAATGTGAATAATGTACCTAAGTGAGACTTTACACCCAGATAATTTCTGGAATTGTTATAGAATCGTACACATTCGAAATTCGATGTTTTAATAATAAATATGTATGGGAGATAATTAATTAGGTATCTACAGTATAGTAAATTTATCCATCCCCATGTTAAAGTATACCATTTCCATCAAAGTAATTTCATACGATTATTGTGTTCTGCATGCCCCTTGGTTGTGAGTCTGTCTCTATTGATACATCAGCAAATCTTTTGTTCCGTCGATTTCATTGTATCAACGCATCAATACCGTACCAGTGTATTAGTCGTGTAATTTCGTATTGAATCGAATTTCCAAATTCTTTTTCATACGTCGGTTAAAAAGAAACCGCTTATTGGAATTTTTATCATACATCCGGAATTTTCATTTTCTATATTTGCCAACAACCATCAAAATCTAGTTGAAAGGGATATCCCGCGGTATCCGAACGAAACAGAGTGAAAGGTTTAAATTCATAGGATCGAAACGCGCTCTATGTACAGAATGGATGAGAATGTAATTATTTCCTGGATTCAGTTTTTTACACCGATATTTTCACCAGCCATTCATGCGTTTTATTTGTCTTTTCTATTATTTGAAATGAACGGTAATTCGTGTTTCGCTTAGTTGCGTAAATGGAATTTAATGCAATTTTCAGGCGACAATTTGATTACTTATTTTATTCTTCCACCCGGTACTTACTATGTAAATGAGAACGTTTAATTCGGTTTAATTTACTGCACTATTCCTAGAAAAACCTTCCGTGGACACTCGTCATAAAAACTCCAACTTTTGTCCTATCAGGTCATAAAAGTTCCTTACAGTTAAACGTTCGTGACTGTCAACTGTGTGAACTTCCCATCAAGTGCATACAACTTTCCTAATGCATTAAATTTTATTGTTATTTTAATTTTGGGAAGCACCCGCCTGGAAAGCAAGATAACTTCGAATAGCTTTAATTCGTCTAACTTTTTTAAAGTTTCTCTTTCTTATTTTTTAGTTCAGCATCGTCGAAGCGATGATATTTTAATGTAAAAGAATCAGAATCCCCCTTTCTTATTCGCCGTTTTCATTTCGACGAACTCCTTTGAATTTAATTATTCCTATGTAATGCCGCTTGAAGGATTTATCTTAGATATCATAAAGTTTAATCAGTTATTTTATACTAAATCGATGTTACACCAAACGGAAATTACGCTTCTATATGTATATCTTCTGAATTATGTATTTAAAAATTACAATTTATTTGCTCTTTAAAAAAGCTGTAAGGACCATTTTGACCGGTTAATTCGATCTCGTGTAAGGAGTTTTAACAAAGTTCTGCAACAATGTGTGAATTGTGGCGTACAGTTTTGGTGGACAAATTCATTATGGACAACAATAGCTTTATATCAATTTTCATGATCAAGTTTCTATTAAATACATTCTATCCCCATTATATTTGCTCTCGACGAACAACGCAAACTATTACCTATCGGTAATGATGAAAATGCGCTTGGATTCGAAGACCAATGTTTATTATTATTAAACTAAATTTATCGAGCATTGTTTGTCAATATAACATTAAATTAACAATTTTGGAAAAAACCGCTTTGTATTAATTATAAATTATTACAGTGCAATGTATAATTATATTAACTTGTTTTAATTTTATTTACAGATTGATCCTAAAGTAGCATTTCCGAGGAGAGCACACCCAAAGGTGAGTTATTTTATATACATATACGTATGAAAGTTGCAGTGGAAAAATGATCTGAATTAAAAAGTTTTCTCGGTTGCAAAGTTTGTGTAGTGCATACTTAACGTATTTTTTCAGTTTTTCCGATGAAAAGTATGAAAAAAAACCTACACGAGCTACTACTATTCGTGCAGTGATGTGGTGGTGATTGAAATTGATTGGATTGAAATATTTCACTGCAGCTCGCGAATTCTGATCATTCTTTCCTTTTTACTGTATAAATGTTGTAAAACTACATCAAATTGGCTTTATGTCAGCTTTATAAAATAATCTCTAATCCCTTTAACAAAAGCGATCTTTTTAAACTTTTAATGGCGATTCCGTGTTTCGATATTTCATCTCGATTGTCAATTTATTAAAAAATATATGCCCAGTTGCACCAAAGCATCCTAGGAAGAATTCCTATCCTAAGTTAAACCTAAGTCTAAAATCAATTTAGGCTACAGGTTACAGGATATGTTGAAACCACAACTTCTTTTTTTTAATCTTTTTTCACTGGCCCCAACAACTAATAGGTTATTTTGACACTTAAAATGACAATCCTTCTTTTCAAGTTTTTCAACAGTATTGCTACGTTGCCAGTTGTTGCCAGTTGTTGCCAGTTGCTTTTTTGAACATGGTGCAATAGATTCCAATCTTAAATAGATATCACATTTAAGTCAGACTTGGATGAAATATAACTCAGGATATTGGTGCAACCGGGCATTAATCTCATTGTATGTCAGGAAAAAAACAACTATACGCGTTTTTGGAGTAGGTAGGTACGTCAAAATATGTCAATATAACTTTTAATTCGAAAATCGGGTTTATTGCCCGAATATTCTATCAGCAAAAAATTTAAGAGTTTTAAATAATGCGAGTGCGCAAAAAGGATGCGGCCTTCAAGCGATAATCATCCGAATGCGACGAAAGACAAGGAAGATCCTGGCAATGACCGCACCAATAAGCCCGTCAAGTTCAAACAGGGAAGGATTACCAGGAATCCTTTTTTGAATTTTCTGAGAGACGTGCGCAAAAATAGCGATGGACTCAGTATTGTGGAAATAGCTATAAAAGGATCTAAGCTTTGGAATGCTATGAGTTCGAGTGATAAAGAACGCTACATCAACATGGCTAAAAATGTAGCTCCTAGAAAATATTACAGAAAAACGAAAAGATATTCCAAACATTATAAAACAGCGAGAAAAAATGGACGAAGGAATGGACATCCTGATTAAATTGACAGTGTGCTATTAAAAATTAAAAAAAAAACATAGTTAAATTTAATAGATGATGCCATCCATCTGCAAGTCTTAAAGAGAACTACCGACTTCTTACACATTATCTAAATAAAACTTTATATTGTAAAAGAACATCAAATTGTAAAAAATCAATAACATTTTTTTCGTGAACATTTGATATCCTTCTCTCAGTTTTTTTAGTGTATTTATAGAGCTGGTGAGTACCTATACTGAATTTGTTTACACGTACAAACATTACAAAAAACCAATTACCATATTATACGAAAAATGTCTCATTTATCCAGCAATACAGTTTGACTCGCTAAAAGTACAATTACATTTAGAAGCGGCAACTTAAAGCGTTAATACATTTTCGCAATTGAACTACGTAGGAAACAACAATTCTTTGTACAATTTCTTGGCGCACGGTATACAGATGCCTTTCTTTGCCAAATCACCTCTGCTATAACCATCTCGTTCGGGTCCAAGAGCAACTGCAATTTCCTCAGGACTGGGTTTCAAAATTTCAAACTGCCATGCACCTTGTAGTTTTTTATTAACTTTCAAATTGTTCAAAGCATGTACTTTTTGAAGCATCTTTTTTTTCTCATTATAGTATGATGTTTTTATCTTGTTTGAGTCCTTCAATAAAATGATTCAAAAAGAAATGTTGCAAATGTAAGTAATTGTCACCTTCCTTTACTTAAGAACTTGCTACTCTTTGTAATCGCTTCCATTAAATAGTTAACAGTAGGTAATAAATAAGATAGCATTTATATAGGAGGGTTACTTAGTACTAAATCTATGATTAGTTTGAAAAGTGAGGTGCAACCCGAAACCCGGTCCTGGTAGTCTAACCGTTGAAGATGATTTCCATTATATTACATGCATGCTTAATCTTATTAACAGAACATTGGAGGCCATGCCAGTAGCGTAATGTCTGCTCATAAGCCTTGCTTACGTGAACGATATACGATAAATACGCCACGCCGCCTAGTCTAGGTCGTATATCCTCTCCTAAGCTGTCGTCCTTTTACCGTTCTGTATAACGTTGAATCGAGTAATATATTGCTTCGGTTTAAACACGATCTTACGAACAACAAGGAAACGAAGTTAACGTCGCAAATTTGAAGATTTAAAGTTTTTTTGTAAAAGGATTTTTGATTTTTCCGCGATTTTTTGCCTCGATATTCCCAAATTAGATTAATGATGTAGCCGGAAATAAACTTACGAAAATATGGTATTAATATCAGAACTCATACAATCGCGAAATTATATTCAAACTATTTTCTATTTGCTGAAGTCTGTCTGCGAAAATTCGGCCAAGAAATGCAGATCACGTTTCGGATTGAGGTTGTACGTCGGCAGAGTGACGGGAGAGTTATGAAGCGGGATACGTAAAAATAAAAAACTTAACCTATTTTCGAGTATTTGGTTGTTTAGATAAAAGCCGTATTATTTGAAAATTTAAGTCGACAAATTTTCCCGAATTTCATTTACAATTAATCGATGGATAAAAACGTTAAAAAAGCGCTGATGTTGGGTTGCGTATTTTTTTTATATTTAAACGAACCGAACGATAAAGCCCCGAAAACGTTGTAATTCGATACTAATGTCGTGGGGGCTGGAACCCCCCATAGCGTAGTGTATTTTTTCGAGTTAATCGTGGTTTTTACAGAAGCCATTTTGGAGACAACATGCAAATTTTTTAAGCTAAAAACGAAAGAAACAATGGGAGAATAGGCACCGCTCACCCTCATTATTTAGATTAAGCAGAAACACGTTAAGGGAGGATCTCAGGGATACACTTCTTACCCCCAACCAAGATTCATGGGTCAAAGAATCATGGTCAGAGAGGGAGAAATTATGCAAATGATGCGAACGGGAAAATTCGGTTTCGCGAATTGCGTTCGTCTTGATAAAGCTCATCTCGAAAACTACTTTATATGATACATATTAGTGCGTAATCAAATTGATGCAACGTCAAAAATTGTATTTTGCTAACAAAAATTGAGTTGTAACCTCTTCGAGGATAATTGAATAGTCTTCGTTGCGGAGCGCCGATTCCACGCACTTGCCGAGTGATTCGAGAAAAAAAATACAAAAACAACCCTGCGAGAAAAAATCGTCCACAAATCTCCACTTCTCCCATCCAAGATAATCCAATGAAATCTAAGTGAAATATAAATGTCTGTAGAGTGTGGCTGGAATCCCCTGCGTCAAGCGCGGATACTTACTCAGTGGCGTGCTAAAAAAATGCCTATTACATGAAAATAATTATATGTATAGTACAATCTTTGGTATTATTATGAAGCATTTACCCTATCTTTATAGAGATTTCGGGAGATAATTCGAAAGATTATTTTACTTTACTAATCCTGGCTATATTTCTAGTTTAGAAAGTTTCTCTTATCTCATTATCCTCTTCTCTCTAAGTCCGTAGTTCACAAACTTTTAGTTATTATAATAAGTAACATGCATTTACTGAAAGTAACTTCCAGAACTCTGAAATTAACAAATTATTAATTAAGCTACTTAATTAAATTTATTAACGATTGATCAGTGATATGCAGGAAAATGGGATAGTTACAATTTAACGTTTCAAAACGGAAGGGATGTTATTAAAACTTTCATTTCACCTATATTTCCTACCTTTAGTAGCGTTCAATCACACTTTCTGGTCGAATTGTTCCCTAGTTTTCCATTGCTGGCGTTTTCTATGGAGAACGTCGATGGAACTCCGACGGACCAGCTGCTCCATCTTTATTACATTTTGTAATCAGAGCAGACGGTGTTTTATTAGGGCCAGTAATTCGCATTGTAACGGCTGCGGCCCTTTAAGAGCACCGCTGATATATCGCCTTTATTGACTACAATGTAGGATTTTGAACCAACGTGGGAAAATTTGCGGAGAATCTCGGCAGTGTCTATTTACACATAAATTAAGCTAAAATCGGAGCGAGTCGTGATAACTAATCCTGAGCGTTTAACATTCAATTTAATTGTTTAATTAGACAGTTAAGAAAATTTCGCACACTAAACGTGAACGCTCTGTTAAAGTTGTTGCAGCGTTGGAAAAACAACAATTAGATGTACATTTCCCGTTTTATTTTAGTTCCTGTTCGTTTTCCGAACGGAATTCCATTCGGTACAATAAAATTCCCGAAGCAATTCATGTCCAATAATTTGCCAAAATGGATAATTCCAACTATATAAACTTCCCATAATCTCCAAAGAAAATCTTCCTTATTCGAGAGTAAGTTAAATTCTATCCAAACGAACAAAGGCGCGAAGTCGATTGTTTTTGGAATTCCGCCAACTTGATGGCAAGATCTTCATTATTTCGACAATAACTATTCAATTATCAAACGTTTGCGGGTGTTGAGCAATTACGTTTATGCAACGTTTCCATTCTGTTCCGATGTCGCGAAAAATAAAAATAATCCGAGGAAATACTTCGTTTTGGCGGAATGGAGTTCAATAGTCGGGGTTTTGTTCCTACGTCGAAATTTTTCCTCTTTTATTTTCCTCGCGAATACATGTTCCTATAGATATTTTTGTATCACTAGTTTGGAAAATGATGGAACTTTTATGGTACATGTTCTAGTATTTGATATTTTATTTTTTATGAAGAATACAATAGATATTATATTCACTGCATAAATCGAATATTATTTATATAACTTTTAATAAAACTTTTGTAATTGTTACTGAATTTGCGCCACTTAATCACAAATATGGAGA